TCAATAGTTTAAGACAAAGACCACATGGGGAAAAAAAAGCTTTAATCCAAAACTTTGGTCTTAACACACACACACAAATAAAATGTTTATTTACGCATTACTTTTGTCAGCTGAGCTTTATTTTGAAAATTTAAAAGCCAGCCTTGAACACTAAGATTACTCATTTTATTCAAAGACAAAGATTTTTCCAACATTTTTAGCATTACTAGATTTTCTTTTTAATCAGCATCTGTGCCACAGACAGCATTCTGTATTTCATATTTACAGCTACAAATATTCAGCAAACAGCTACAAATATTTTACAAGCTTGTAGAAAAAACAAAAAAAAGAGTGGATTACTGAATAAAAACAACTATCACAATACATCTCTGATCTTGTAGTTGGATCAACACAGATCATCTCCCTCCACACAAAAAGCATCAGCACATGTTAACAGTTTGCTGTCAATGTTTTTGGCATTCCAGATAGACTTCTTAATTTTATTTAAAATAATCACTACAAATACAGTCCTTTTTATCTTACTTTGTAAGCATTACTCCACAACTGTAAACAGTTTAGCTAATTCCTGCTATTCCACAGAGCTCTTGGACTGGTTTATTTAAGACCTTGTTTTAATGACACTTCATTATAATAAGGACAAAACCATCTCATTTTGCAATCTCCATATTAAATTCCATGCATGCATAAGTAAGGAATATTCTAAGATGAAAAACTACTCAGAGAGCATCCATTCTCATAAGTTGTGTCTTTCACGTTATACCACTAGGAAGATTTTGCCTAAAACTTAGGTTGCACGTATAGAAACTGGAATACAATTAACGCTCTATTATCCATGAGAAGATTATGTAAATTGTAGGTTAAGCAGGGTCAGTGTTTTTTTTACCAAAACACCCCCGGCTTCCACAAAGTACCGTGCTGCTTCTGTAAGACCCCATACTTACTATCTGTTGCTATTGTAAGGCTGACGTTGTTCCCCCTCAGAAAGCTATCCACAGATTTTAAAAAAGTGTGTATTCCAAGTGTATCCCTGTAATTTAATTTACATTATTTATTTCACCATTTTTCCCCTTTTTCTAGGTTATCTTTTCCTTCTCCCAATTATTACTCTGAATAGCGTAGAATTGACTATCTTTACAACAAATGCTCAATTTTCATATCTTTTGATTTAAAAATCCTCTGGAGCCCTCCAGTACTCAAAACAGCACTTTATATGAAATTTTTGGCAAACATTTTTGTTCATAAGTATTTCATAAGCTGTTGGTGACTCCAATTAAAAACAGCTTTCAACGAAAAACACTGCTATGACACCCTCCCCGTCCCCAACCTGTCTTTCCCCATGAACCATGACCATCAGAAAAGCCAGTATTCCATCTATTGAGGGGGTTCACTTGGGAGCCCAGATTGGTATGACTGAGCTGGTGGAGTCTTCAGGTACTAAACTGGGTCTGTTCGTGGCTTTTGAGCTTTTGGGAATTCCAGAGGGGCAGTGGGGGAAGATGGAGTTCAGTTTCACGTGGGAACAGGATTAAAAGTGAGATAGGGGATGTCAGCAAAACAGAGTTCTTGTCCTCTCACTGCTCATACCACTAAGCAAACACTCCACCCATGGATCTGAAACAATTAGAAGAAAAAGCACAACCCAACTTTTGTCTAAAGTTGAACTCGAGGTAAGTTAACAGTAAAACAGTGTGTATGACAAACATCATCAACAGCAGCACAGTTAACAGACACCATATATTCTATAAAAACTTTTCATTGATAAAAAAATAGTAATAAGCTTCTCAGTGTTTCACTAAGCACATGATAAGTCTGTCAAAATCACTGAATGCATTTGGACAAACATAAAGCTTCAAAAAAGTGGTAACAGATGAGGAAAACTACCAAGTCAAAACACAACTTTAGAATCTGAGATGAAGGTGGGGAAAAAAAACCCCACACCTTTCAATCTGCCCCAAAAAACCACTCATAACTCGCATGAAGTTCATGCCTCCCATTTTGAACATACCAAAGTGACAGTAAATAGTATACATAACACTGATATTCTTCAGTCATTGACATGGCTACAAAATAAGTAGATTCTTAAAAACCACCCAGTCCGTGTACTGTGTAGGACTGCAGCTGATGAACAGTTCAAGTCAGGCAATTTTGTCATTAAAAACAAGAGAAGAAATAGAAAAGCAGACAGATTAAGTGGCTTGACAGACACAATAGATAAGATCAGTGGACAAAAAGCAGAGTTACTGCTCAAATCCTGGCTCTGTGTTTAATAAATTAATCTCAACTGCATCATTTACAACATGTCCCTTCTGTCTCATTGTCAATATTCATAAAAACATCAGTCTTTGCTGCTTATAAAGACTCTGAAACATGTTTGGCTTACGTGATACTGTTCCCTGTGGTAGGTTTTTTTTTTCTTTTTTTGTGTGGTGTTTTTTTTTTTTTAATTTAAACAGAAATTCAGCAATCTCAGATTCAAGTATATGAATGACTGTAACTCCATTAATACTCTTCTTTCAGTAGCAAATTCACTGTAAAGGTATAGCTCAACAAGCATTTTAAGCAAGCATAAGCCTGATACAGCCTCTAAATGCTGCTTCACCACATTTGGGGACACACATGGGGAACCAGATTGGAGAATCACTCCAGCTGGAAACAAACATAACAAAATTATACTGATTATTTTCAGCCACAGCATTTTCTTGACTTAGCTTACTGCCTGGCTGCCAAAAAAATGTTTCTTCTACCAAGGGACATGCAAAAACAAGGACAAATGCAATAATGAAAGCAACATCTTTTCTTCCTGTGGCAGCAACAAATTATGCCACTGTAAAGTATTTACATAGCCATGGATTAAAAAAGCTATGGCATTCATTCCTGCCAAGACAACTCTTTCTCTGGCCGTGAACTAACCTGTTTGCTAAGTGATTCAGTCTTAAGAAACACTTTCTGTTATTTGTTTTTTTTTAATAAAAAAATTTCACAGAACTTAGGTAGACAATGGGACCATGCACAACTGAACTGGCAGACCCGAGGGCACCTCATTGAGATAACAAGAATTCATTTTAAACCAGATCTACTGCCAATAAAGTAACAGAACCAGTCTTGGAAAAGGTGCTGGCTCAAAGAGAACAATGATTCTAAAGGAAAGTTCTGGTAAAAGAAAAAAAAAAAAAATCTAGCTATACACCTATATATTTTTAATTTAGCTTTAGATTTTAGAAAGCAATGTTGTTTTGCCAGGACTTTGTACCCTCCACTTCATGCCCTGTCTCCCCCCGCCCGGCTTTTTTCTTTCCTCTTTAAGAGTCAACCCAAAATATGAATGATGCAAGTGGAGACACAAGAACAAACACATTAAGGAGTTTGAAATGAAACATTTAATCTACTTTTAATTTATTGTATTTTAATCACCAGAGGAACAGGTACATGTCAGCTACTGACGATGCACTGTAATTACTGCATCTAGCTATGTTGATTTAGCCTATTTGTGTACTGTTACTCATAACTTAGATGTCCACAGCAAGGCTTTATGTTGGCTTAAAAGAAAAAAAGAAACAGTGAAAAGAAGTTTCCTGTAGAAATAGATAGTTACTACTGCACTCTGATCTAAGTTTTATAGTCCAGATGGCAGGTCATGACACCTCTTCAGGTTCAATTTATGCTCCTCAAAGCCTTAGAAATGTTGTTAGAGGCGCCAGGAATTTGCCTACAGAGCCAGCTCCAGCTCCAAAGATTACTGCTCTGGTTATGTAGACACACCAATTTAAACTTGAGTACTTTTTAAGTGTAACTCTTGCTATAAAGTGTTTGTTGGCATTC